TGCAATAATAATGTTCCCTGTCCTTCTACAGAACCCTGTCTTTTACAGGATGCTATTTAATGTAGAGAAATTCCTACACATTTGTATCAGCATGAAGTCATTAACATAAGAACATATGCCACGTTGGTTCAGACCCATCTTCTCTTCAGCGGTGGCTAGAAATCAATGCCCTGGGAAGAATAAGAACAGGGCAAGCATATGTAATACTTCCTCAGAGTCTTGTCCCAGCTGCCAGCTATTTTCAGGTCAGAGAAGTTCCTGAGATTGATGCTGCCTGTCTCTTTAGTTTCCCTCAGTGAATCTCTCAAGTATTTACTTGTCCAATCTCCCCTTGAACACATCCAAAATTTTCATATCCTGAACAGTTTTGAAAAGAAGTTCCATAGGTATACTAACACGGGTCCATTAACTTAATGACTTTGCATCAACATCTTCCTCCTTTTTTGCAAACTTTGGAATTTTATGAGACTACAGAAACAAAAATAATACCATGGAATCTGTTATCTTGCTGCACTACATTGCTCCCCTTTTTGCCAAGGAAGAAAAAGGGTCATAAGATCCCAGAAATGAAATGTATTATTTTAAATACATCTCTTCTTTGACTTCTTCCACTCTTACTCCACACTGACAGCCTGAATAAAGGCTTGGGATCAATCAACATTCAACAAACAGTGCAAAGGCTCCTTATATCAATCCCTAAATTAGATACTGAATATAATATAGCTCTATCTAAATCTGCAACCAAGAATTATTGAATTTTAACAAGGAACAGAGGGAGAAGGCCTATGCAATGTAGTTGATATCAAAATATCTCACTTCTTCACATTGACAGGTCTAAGGAATTAATGCTTATATGTAAAATCTCCTGAATATTTGTCTCTGTGGCAAAAAGGCACTGATGGTAGAGAAAATGAATTTTCCAAGGCAAGTGTTTTCCCTATGTTGTTCTACAGAAACTCAGTTTCAGTATAGAGTGGGGAGAGGGGAAGACACAATAAGGGTAAAACTTAAACAGAGCTCAAGGGTCTGCATAATTAAGTTCCTTTGGAGCTTAACTAAGAATCAGTGGATTGGCTATCCTTCTCTAAGCAGTATTTCACCCTCCATCTTGTTGCACTCTCTCTATATGTAACACAGGTTACATTCTATATAGATGAATAGTTTTACAAAGCTGTTGTTACTTTCTATTGGTGTCATCATCATCACTGGCTTTTTCTTCTCAATATGTTAAAAAATATGTATTATATTCATTACAATATTCCCGAGCATGTAGTGTTGCCTGTTCATGAGCTGCTCCCTTTTCATGCAGGGCAACCTTCCCCCAGGGTAGCAAGCCTCCAGAAATCATTGACATCACTCACAGAAATAAGGAATGTCGCCGTGGGTCCAAAGCCAGTTTGCAGCTGTTTCTGCTGAAGTCTCAGCTTCAGAGAATGCCTGTTTGCTTGCAGCTGCATTTAAGGAAGTTCTTCAGTTGGGTATTTCTCAGTGGAAGTTCCCAGCTAATATTAGTCATAAGCAGTACTGAAGTACAGAACTGCATTTCATAATCCTGTTGACACTCCTCCCAGGCAACTTAAAAATTGCCTACGCTGTTACTAAAGAGATGAGAAAAGAAAACCCAAACCTTTGGTTTCTACACTTTGTAAAAGACAATGAGTAAATTATACTTAGGAACGTCAGCATTCAGATATATACAAAAAGCACAAGATGAGGTACAAACTTTATAATTTTACTAACACTACTTTTATGTTGCTTATAGTGCACCAAGTCTGTATGTCTGCACTTTGGATCATATATTCTTTAATTAGCTTCTGGAACCCAGTTTTTGTCTGTTACAACCTATGGGGAAAATACAAACATACTTGATGATTGGCATTTCATATACTAAGGTTTCCACAGGCTCATGCTGTTGGGAAAAAAATTAAAAGATTCAGCCTCGCCTTCCTTCTCACTACGGAATGTCAATATTCAGTCTAAATTAATCCACAATTCTCCTTTTCTGACCAGGAAAGGCATTCCAAGAGCAAAATTTTTTTTTGTTAAAACAAAATTAATTTTTGTTTAAAAAAAAATTATTTTGTTAAAACAAGAAGAAGAAGAAGAAGAAGCTATTGAAAGAACGGAGAAACGCCATAGGGTAGCACAGAAACCCAGCACCACGCACACATTCCTTTGGGACCACTGTTTAAAAGTTCTGCTAAAGGTTTAAACATCTGACGTGAGCCACCTAGTGTCTGAACGAATGGCTGCATTACGAAGTTGCAAGAAACATTTTAACCTCTTCCTGACAGCTGGTAGAAGCCAATTTGTGTTTATAAGCTTAAAATTGTATAAAGGAATCAGATTTTAGCTTTTGCTGAAATACAGCCTTTTGGCAACTGCCACACCACAAGCCTACCGTAAGAGCAGTCAGTTCCTTTTGAGATCTCTGCAGTTTAGCCAGTGAACACGCTGTTAACACATCAGTAAAACTAATATTCCTGTTACAATACCACTTCAGAAGTAATATGTCAAACAGTAAACAGTATACAGCTGACAGGAGGTAGTTAAATAGACTGCTTAACCCACTTGGAGCAAACTTTTAAATTTTCACTTTGAAAAAGTATCCCAAAAAGGTTTCTAAGTATAATTAGTCAAAATAAGACTCTGAAGATAAAGTGAAATAAAATAATACAGACATGAACCTCTTCACCACCACTCCGAAATTCTAGGTAAGTGGTTTGTAATGTTTTTTAACATTAGTAGACTCCTAAAATCTTAAATCATTCTTAACTACACTAATATACACTTGTTCTTCCCAGTTATCTTGTGAAGACTACATATAGGAAAGCAATTCTGCCTTAACAATGACATAAAAATGTGAAATATTGATGTGGGACGAAAATACAGTAAGATGTTACTGGAATAGCTGTAGGGGAGGAAATACAGAGACTGAAGAGGAGGAAGCAGAAAAAAACAGAAAAAGAAAGCAAAGGACAAAGAAAAGGACAAAAAACAATTGACTGTAAAGCAGAAAACTCTCTAAAAGATTAAAGTTTGAGATCAAGTTAGCTACATAATATAGGGTTTACATTATTTTCACCGGTATTTTGCTTTTCTTCTATTTAACTATTTATTCAAAGGGTTGGAGTCTCTAAGAACATCAAAATGGGTTACAGTAAAGGTTGTAACATACGCCTTAATGTATTTGGGGAGGAAAGGTAGTAAAGAAAAAAACACTATTGAAGACAGAGGAAAGACCAGTTTCTCTTGTGCCTAATTGTGAAAGAATTATTACTGACAAAGTATTAAGTGAATGATGCATGTGATTTGAAAAGTCGTGTTCGTAAATGGTTGTCACTTTTGCTTAGTCAGGTTTGAGCCCTTCACAGCTAATTTACATTAAGTATATTTCTAGAATTTAATAAACAAACTTTTGTTTCCTGTAACAACTAAGGTGCAATCATAGTGTTTCTGAGATGGTATATACATTATGCCTCTATTCAAATTCAGGTAGCCATCATCTTAGTTGATAAATGTCTATCATCAGATAATACCTACTTGTACTTTTCTGCTCTCTATCTCTTTTTAAAAGCAGCATTGGTTAAATTACATTTACATACATTGATCTGATTTTAAGAACTGCAGGTTTTATTTCAGTTGCTAACTGAGATATCTCTTACCATTTTAAGTGCAGAACTACTTGGCAAGACTGAATAAAAATAAAAAATGTAGACATTAAAAAAGAAACAATACCGTCTTTTTGCACCCCTTTAAAAAAAAAGAAAAAAGACAAAGAAAAAAGACAAAGACAAAGAAGAAGAAAGAAAAGAAAAAGAAAAAGAAAAAGAAAAAGAAAAAGAAAAAGAAAAAGAAAAAGAAAAAGAAAAAGAAAAAGAAAAAGAAAAAGAAAAAAGAAAAAAGAAAAAGAAAAAGAAAAGAACTGGTTGAATCAAACCTTGGATGTCTCAAACACCCTGTCCCTGAAAGAGATAACTGAATCCCTCTTTCTTGGAAACATGATAATACAGCAAACCTCTCAACCTTAATAGTTCATTAGAACCTCACTTCTCAAAAGTGGCTAACCAGGAAGTATATTTATTGCCTCATTAAACTATCTCCCCTTAAGTCTCTTCAGTCTTAGTACAGGCCAACACAGACCAAAAGAGTTGTTAAAGACTTTAGCAGGAAGGGTAAATTGTAATAGAAGTAACCTTCAAAAGAGTACTCAGAACAAGACCTGGCTACTGTGAAGAGACCACCACCTTCCTGTGGCTTGTGTTTGAGCTCAGCCCTGGGGCACACCCCGGGCAGGTAAGGTTGGCATGGCTGAAACACAGGTTCCCATCTGTGTGTGGGCAAAGGGACCAGTTCTGCTCTGGCAGAAGAAACGGGGCAGCCTGGCTGCGTGGCCACGGGCACTGGAGCTCAGGGGCAGCCGAGGCCAGTTCCAAACCTGGAACACTCTCTGCGGCCATCCCTGCCCAAGTGTGTGAAAAACGCCTCTTTTTTTCCCATCAACTCCCTCCCTCCTACACACCTTCAGAAAAAAGGTTGTACTTTACGTGTGACCTAAAGAGAGAAGAGCTTGTAGCAGCAGCAAACTATATTCTTATCAGTGAAATTCATTGTCTGCAGAAATTAAATGGGGGGGAGGAAGGGAAATGCCACCCTTTAGACAGAAAGTACTCCGGGCATGACAAGTATAGTTATGTTACAAATGTAAGTAGTTATTAACAAATCACGTCCAGACTGCAGCAGGAAGGGAGTTGCGGGAGGGGGGAGCAGCACGGACCCTGCCCGAGAGGGGTGAAGGGCGCCGCAGCGCAGGCGGAGGGCAGCCCAGAGCCGCCGGCCGGAGAGGCGAGCTTGGTGCCGTCTCGGCGGCGGGGAAGGCGCCGTGCCCGGGCCGCCAGCCCGCCGCTGCCCCGACCCCAGCAGCCCCGTGCGGCGGAGCGGGCAGCGCCCGGCGGCCCGTCACGGGGCGGGGAGCGGCACCACAGGAAGTCAGTTCTGGTTCCTGGGTTAAGGTGCTCGGGCGGCAGCGAGCGCCCTGTGCCGGGAGCGGCCGCGGGCTCCGTCAGGCGCTCGTAAGTCTGAGTCGCTTTTCAAACCCCTCCGTCCCCTTCCGCGGGGAACGGCGGGCGCTCGGCCCCGGGGGCTGGGGTGCGGGTCCCAGGGGCTGCGGACGGCTCCTCGGCCGCCCCTGCCCTCGGCCCCGCCGCACTTCCGCCATCCGCTCAGAGGGACGCCGGTTCCCCCGCCGCCGGTTTGCCCGGCTCCGGGAGCGGGGCGGGGGGGCGCGCAGTCGGTGCCTGCGGAAAGTGCGGGGTGGGCGCCGCCGCCCCCGCCGCTCTAGGCGGGCAGCGGGAGCGGGGGCAGCGGGCTGTCCCGGGGGTGCCGAGCGGAGCAGCGGGAGGAGGTGCTGCCTCCGGGGACAGGAACGGCCCGGGGGGTGTACAAGCCCAGCGGCCCCCTGGTCCCCGTCCCCTTCGCTGAGCGCGGAGGGGCTGTCTGCGCCTCGGGGGCTCCTGCTGGGACTCCGGCTCTTCCCGCAGGCGGGCAAAGAGGGAGTTTTGTCCATCATTAAAAAAAAAAAACAACAACAATAACAACAACCCACCACAACCTAAACGAAAGTGCAGTGAGCTCTCAGCCTCTCACACATGATTACCTCAACAGGTTTCCAGTTCCCAAGATGATGGCAGTGTAACTTACAAAATATTTCCATTGAAGAAGCTGTTTTGAAAGCAGAAATTTGTAGAGAAGTACTTGCTTCTGGATGGCATCTGTGTTCTCATGTGAACCTATGCGAGGTAGGCATGTGCGTTATGAATGAATGTGTATATACACATGATTAGTTCAAACCTTATTTTTTCAGAATTTAAGGTGTTTTCTGAGGCACTATGAAAACTCAAAACGTGCCTCTCTAGTGATCTGTGGAGCTGGGATTTCAGGATATATGCAGCAGTGTGTTGCTAATCTTTATGTTTGGGCTTTTTTGGCATTTGACTCAGAAAATTCATATTACTGCTGCTGGTTTTTTTCCCACCTATGTTGGCAAAATGTTTCTCATTTGAAGCAAGTATTTTAAGAGCATCTGGAGGCTTCATTGGGTTTGTTTACTTAAAAGTTTGTCTTACAACATTTGCTATACCCAGTTGTTTCCCAATGTTCAGGTCTTTACTCAAAAATTAAATTCTAGTTCTCGATGGCATAGCTCTGGCAACACAGCACCCAAAGGTTCTCACATTTGCAGGATCCCCTCATCAGACAAACTCTGGAGCTAATCTCTTTCTCTAATTATGTCCTGGTTAGATTAAATGCAGCGTTTTGTATTGCTGCATCTGTTTAACTACATATTGTTGTTAATAATTGTGAAAGTCGTTAAGATTTAATGAACACCTAGAATGTCTGTTGCTAAAGATAAGGGTTCACAACTTTGGGCTGAAGGTATTCCAGTTGTTGTATGGATACAACATAATTAAACCTGATTAAAATAGTGGGAGTGTTTGTTTTGGGGGCTGTTTTTGGGTTTGGGTTTTTTTTTATGTTAGGGGTGTTGGGTTGGGTTTTTTCCTTCTAACTGGATGTAGGGAGCAGGGTAAATGACAAGGAACAGTTGGCAAATTCCCTGATAAATATTGATGCATATGAAAGAGAAGCAGAAGAAGGAGCCAGTTTTTCTAACTGCAAGGAATTCTGGATATGAGATAGATAACATAAGAAGCAGTTATTTATTCCAGCAGCAGGCAGCTCAGGGTGTGACTACAGAGTAGTTTAATCCAATCTAAATCTAGACTGCTGCAGTCCTACCCACGGTTAGTCTTATGTTCCCACTGCCTCCTTGTGTTGGTAGTAGTGCTCCAGCAGGCTTGCAGTCAGCTAGCTGCCATTTAAATTTTGGGGTTGGTTTTTTTTTAGGGGGTTTGTTGTTGCTTTTTTGAGGAACTAGGGAGCTACTTCGGCGCACTCAACTGCATAGCATAGAAGTGCTAATACTGATACAAGCAAGTAGCAAAAATTTGTGGCCAGAGATGGGCGAAGGCAGGAGTATCCATGTCTGTGGCAGTGCAGACTTACATCACCATTGCATAACCCTGACTTCATGTTACATTTTTAAAGCCATTGAACACAGAAGTTCTGTCAGCCTCTTGCTGATGTTTTCTACTCCTGTGCTGGCTTCCTTGTCTTATCATGCCATTTGAAGTGGTCTGTGGAGCTGATACACATTAAAACTAACACAGCAAAAATATCTTTAGCATTTGGATTTAAGCTGGATTGGTTTGCTGATACAGTTTACAGTAAGCTGCTTGTGCTGGAAGAAAGGAAAGGGTGAGGTGGAAGCAGAAATTAGTGTCTAGGGTATGGGAAAATATAGGACCAATCTTCTGGTTACAGTTCCATCTTAAAGTGTCACTAGTAATAACTATTATTGCCCTTTTTTTACTGCATGGGGTCTAGATTTTAGGGAGCTACCAGTAAATTAGCTACCGTTCTTCTTGGTTTTCCCTACGAAGTAGAAAATCAGGTGCAGTGCTGCTATTCTGCCTGTTACATCAATTACTTTTGATACCAACAGCACAGATAAGAGCACAACTCTCAGTTAATACTCTCAGGTTCAATCAATTGGTAAACAAAAGGCTGGAAGTTAGGTATAAATTTTAAATACTGTTTTTCAAATTGAGATTTGAATTTGCATGAATGAAGTCGCCTTCATTTTCTACAAACTGTGAGTCCTATGGAACTGAACCCCATTCCCTCTATTAGAAGCTGAACATAGTCTTTTAAATTCCATTGCACTCATTTTTTGAAGTTACCTTTTATACGTACAAGATGCTGCCATTTACTAGGTAAATTGTTACTAGTGTCTCTGGAGAATTCCAGTAAAATACAAAATCAACATCAATGCAAACTGTGCAAGTTTTTAGAGAATGTGAGAGCACACTTTCAATCACTTTCAGCCATAACAATACCCTTCTGCAGTTTAGTACCCACACCTGCAGTCAGCTGTAATATCTGAATTTATTCATTGAACTATGTAAAACAGTCCTTCATTTGAAATTGTAAAAAAGCCTACCCATTTATTTAAAGATGTAGCCCAGGTATTAGAATGAATATTCCAGTTAGTAGAGGGATACTCTTTGGGGGAGGAAAAGGGTGGATGAAGTAGCCTGTGTTACTAACAGGGCTTTGAGGCAGTACACGTGGTCCTGAGATTATGAACTGCTGAACTGGTGTTTAGAGAAAAAAAAATAAATACAAAAACCTTTCGTATGAAACAACGTAGGCATTTTACACAAAATCTATAAACTTGGATTTCAGTAATACTTGTTACATCAAAGGATCCCCAAATGATTCCAAGCTGATAAGGAATTCACTTTTCTAGTAATAAAGTACAGCCATGCTGGAGTTGAGATACAATTGCTCTTGCAATATGTGCTCATCTTTAAAATAAAGTTTGCAGAACAAAAAGGTGTGACATTCATACAGCAGTCTGTTGCACCTTCTAGGAAAGTTGAACTGTGTTTCTGTATTCAGGCTCTATGATATGGAAGATATTCAAGAGCAAGAAAATGAACAAAAGCTCAAGCTGCAATCCTTAGAATTTTGACTAGAGGCCAAGACAAGTCATCCTCATACTCTTCTTGCTTGGCTTATCCATTATGATAAATTTTTATTTTAAAATTCATGTCATATATTACTATAGAAGCAAAGGACCTGTGTTTGCAAATTTCACTGTCTTGAAATTGAAGTCTGTGATGATTAATAGTGCTGTATTCTTATGTGTCAAAGTTCATGAGCTGTAATTTCAGAATTGTTATTGAAATTGTTCACAAAATATAAAAAGTTGATACCATATTGTGTGTAGAGGTCTGAGTCTTACTAATTCTTACTGGGTGGTGTTGCTGATTTTTAGATAAAAGATGTTTTAATTCACCTTGTAGTGTTGCTTGTGTTGCCATTTTCAAATATGGCATAGAACAGGACAGGTCCATGTGATCTAATGTTATTGAGCTTTTATCTTTTTATTGCTTAATGCCAAAAGCTGAGATTTATTTCATTTTTTTTAATGCTGTTATTTCACAATGCAGTAAACATTAAACTGTTGGAAACATCATAAAATCGGGTAACTGGTGATCTGCACTAATTGTAAGTCTCAGCCCTCAAACAGTGTAACTACACATACATTTACACATTCTGTACATCCAAAATTTAATTCAGAGTTAACCTGGTTTTGTTTGGCTTTTGTTGAAACCTGAACATAAAATTAAACGTTAAGGTGAGCAGAGCTATAGTTTAAACTATTATGAGTTAATGCTCGAACATACTGCACATATTAGTTGAATCTGATGTTAATACAAGTCGTTATATATGTTTTCAGTTGCAAACTTCTGTTTCTTAGCATTTTCTCTTTTTCCTTCTGATTACTTTTCAGGTCTGTTAACTTGACCATCTTTTCAGTGATGAAACAACATTGGGAATTATGGACAAAAACATTGGAGAGCAGCTTAACAAAGCTTACGAAGCCTATCGACAAGCATGCATGGATAGGGACTACGCTGTGAAAGAACTACAGCAAAAGGTAGGTGTTGGGTTCTGAATCATGTCTTTAAAGCCATCCTTCCCGTGGAGGACTGTAGTATACGTAGATTTCAGTTTCACTTTAGCTATGCGCATTTCAGTGCGTCTATTAAAGTTAGAAATTGCCATTATGAAACCAGGCCAGTACGCTACAGAGCAACTCATTAGGCTGTCAATGTGGTAGGTGGTTTTCAGGTTTTCACCCTGCAATTTTTTTTAGTTTTAAAGGTGAAAAAAGTGGTGTCTGGTTTGGAGGATTAATGAAGTCTTCTAATGTAAAAAGCAAAGTTGTAGATAGAATTTAGCCTTAATGAAGTACCTTCTGATATGTAATTTGTTTTATTAAAAAATACTTTTAAAATTATTTATATTAGTAGCTTTGATAATTTTTGTGTTACCAGGAAGATATGCCACATGAATTACTGGTTTACTTGATGTAAAATTTAAAGACTAATATATTAAGTACTGTGCAAGCTATTAGGATGAGTTTGTGTGTTGAAACATTTACAGCAAACTTAAAGAATAAGTGTTGATTTTAAAAAAAATAATCATCTATACAACTATTCTTTAATTATGAATTAACAGAAAGATTCTGAAGGCAATCTGATAGTAAGGAGCACCTTTGAATTTTTACTTAGTGTGTTATAGAAAACAGTACTTCAGGCAAAACTCCTCTAGGACTTCTCATCATGTGTGCCAGCATATTGCAAAGCTATCATTTTTGAGGTTTGTAATACTAGTTTTATCATGAATATTCTGCCCGGCAACTGAAACCTCTGTTATAGGAAGGCTTGAATGCTTTTGATGTTACAGGACATTCTGATGCTTCCATAGAGGTGGTAGGCTGGGACTTCGTTCAGGGGCAGATAAACCCTACTCAGTGTCAAGTTATGGAAGCAATAGTAGAATTGGGAGCAGGGAAAGGTCTAGTAGAGAATATCCTGATATCTGGGCACAATCCTGCCATACCTTTGCATGGCAAAATAAACTAGCCAAGGCATTGCAGAACAGATACCAAGTCAGTCATGTCTGCCATCACCCACTGTGCAGTCAGTCTCCATTCCTAGTCTGTTGCAGCAGTGCTGGGGCAAATCTGTAGCTTTTTCTGTACTTAACAAGCACAAGTAGCATGTCAAGACATTTTGTGCTGAAATTGCAACTAGCTTAACAAAAGGCAACACATTTTAAAATGTTTGGGAATCTTTGAAATTCTGTCTCTTAAGATGAAAAGTTAGTTATTTGAAGGAAAACAGGTCACGTTAATGCTCCTGGGTCATCTAACAGTACATAGAAGAAAGTTCTGTCCAAGAAACAAGGCATCAGGTGCAAGGTCAGATAGCCTTTCTAAAGGCTATGAAAGAAAACCAGAGAAGTGTGTGAGATCATCAGTGTTAAGTGATTAGTGAACTAATGCTTGCAAGATTTCTCTTTGCATTTTCTCTGGTTCAGAAATGAAAACCGAAAGCTTTTCATAAAGGTTTACCACCAGTTCAAATCTTTGTCCTAGCCGAACTTTCGGTAGTTGAATTTCATGACTTCAAAAGAGAAAAAAAGTATTTTTTCAAGAAGAGTTGATGCTATAATTAGTTGAGGGTGGTTTTTCTTTTTGTTTGTGTTGTTTTTCAGGTTTTTTAACCAAACTCCTGGTTTTTGAATGACCTTTGTACGGTGCTTTACTCTACTAACTTCCTCTGTTCATTGTGCGGCCTTCACACATTGTTGGATTGTCCATCATTCTGTTGTTAACAGTTTACTACTTAAGTTACCGATAGGCCACTTGTTTTGCCAGTCTCTAGAGCTGGGAGCCATGTCAAGCACACAGAAGCCAGAGTCATCTCAGCCAGATGGTGTTTGATACAGATGGATGGTTGGTTGTCATGCAGATCTTCTAGTTGGTAACTTGTTGCTGCCATCTGACTCAAGGAATAATTTGTGCACACTGGCTGTCAAAAGCATCTTCTCTTCTGTCTGTTTTAGCTGTCATGTCTGTGCTCTGTACAGAAGTGTTGACAAGACATTGCTGTTGTACATTTTCAATTTGGTTCTCAGTGATTTTTCTGCTTCATGAGGTCTCTTATAGCTGCTGGAGTGTACTGCTCTTTGATCACTCTTTTTTTTTTTTTTTTAATAAACTCTCATAGTACAACTACTACCTGGTCTTTAAAAATAAATTTTGCTTGTTGATTTTTTCCTGCCTGCTTTACAGACAAAAGACATTGGGCAATAGTAGGGTGTGGAATTTAAATCTGAGATTTGATAACTAGATAGCAGTGTGGATAAACTATGAATGGACATGAAAACAATGCCTAGTCTTTTTCCAGGTCGTGACTTGTTCAGTAATAAACATATTCTTAATTTCAGAAAAATTCACTGCATTTCTCTGAGTTTCTTTGCTGGGACTTCCCAAGTTTTCTTGCTTGTTTTTAGCACTACCGTAACTGCAACATTAGGCATGTGCTAATGAAATAATAGGTTTTGAGTATTAGCACCTTTCTGCCACCAGACCATTTGTTCAATTAACCTGCTATCTAACAATATTTATACACTTCGAAATGTGAGCAGTCTTAATAGGCTCTGTATGGCCTATTTATAGGATGAGATGGAGTATTGCTAGAAGAATGGGGCTGCTTCCTTGCTTCCCCCCCTATAGTCTACTACACTCAAAGGAACAGGCAAAACTCTGTTTATAGGCAATTAAACTTATTTACAGAATATCTGTTGTATGGAATCAGCAATGTTGTTGTTTTCCATTTAAAATGTATCTTTTTGAAAGCCTGTATTTGTATTGTTTATTTGTTAGAAAATACGGCAGAAGAAAGTTACTTCTTTCTATAGATAAACTAACTGACCAGCATTCTGAAGTATACTAAAATTCTAATTTTAAACCTGATGTATTCTATGCCTATAAATGAAGAATCCTATACTTAAAAGTTATCCTATCCTTTAAAACTGTCACAGTTGAAACAGTTACTGAAAATCAGAAATTATTTCCTATAATACTTTTTCTAATCAGGGCGGTCTCAAAAATATGGACTTGCCAAAGGTGATTGTGGTTGGGTTTTCACACAGAGGTCCACAACTATAATTATCTTTAAAAATCAGAGCTGCTTTTTAAATGCCAAATAGGAGACCCCTAGTCAAAACAGAATAAGATTAATGCTAATTATATTGTATTTACAGACAGAAAACTACATGCAGCAAATACGTGAACAGCAGGAAAAGATAGAGCTTCAAAACAGCATTATTGCAAAACTGAAATCGCAGTTAGCTGCTCTGAATGCTAATAGAGGTATGTACTCCAATTTGCACATTATTTCTTTTTATGCTGTGTTGCATTGATGAATAGTTCTGACTGTTGCTTCAGTTTTTACAATATACATCTCTCAAGGCAGTATCATACTTTTCTGTGAACGTGAGAGTTAACACAAATGTGCAGTTTCAAAATCTATTTATAAAATGCAACACTTCTGAGGTCTCTCTTTATCCTCTTCAAGAAATGGTGAGATTTTCTTTAGATGTAGAACCTGCTTACACTGAAGCCAATAAAAGTTATGGAAATATGGGTTCGAATCATTCACTAGAATTAAAACTACAATCATTACATATTAACTTTACAATTATCTGTTAATAAGCTTAGCTCAGGTTGTTCTAGAGGTGAATGCCATGCTTATATGTATTTTATGTTATATGAGTCTTGTGATGCTTATCGTATTGGATAACCAAAGCTTTATAAACAGGTAAATCTCTTTCAAATCAAATAGTCATTGATGGATAATTTTCCACTGTTTGTCTGTATTACACAAATAAGAGAAAAGAGTCAAAGTAACCATGTGTTAATCTGCCATGCTCATTAAATATTTATTCACACTAGCCTAACACTCCTGGTTTTCATAAATACTAGCAAAGTGGTTGGCTTTTATTTTTAAGAGTATATGTACATTCTTTATTGCTGGCTTAGTCTTCCATTGTCTCTAAGCGCAGAATTGGGCTTCTCTTGGTTGTTTAATATGAAGACTTGCTCAAAGAAAATAAAGAAGTTAATATAAGCCTAGCTTCTTTTAATTTTGCTTCTACTTAGAAGCTGGCTAGGGAAAAACAGTGACAATCAGCTGTCTTTTTTTTTTTTTTTTTAAGGTAATGCACATCCCTACATTCTGATGCATGAAGACATTGAAACCTCCAACTTGCCTTTCAGCCAGCTCTCTGAAAAACTGAACATAGCAAAGCAAAGGGAAAAACTCTTAAAGGTATGGTCATTTGCAGTATCTTTAACATAAGAACACATTTGTGCTGTGATTATACTGAGAACCTAAAGAGATAAGTGGCATTTTTACTGGTGCCTTTGAACTGCACTTCTTCTAATCAAGATCCTCACCTGACGTGCATTGAGTGTTGTGCCACTGAAGTACTTAGGTGAACAATGCATCTATCTTTGATCCTTCCCAGTACAATTGCTCTTTGGCCATTGAAGTCCCCAGAGTAGTTTTAATTATAAAGTAGGAACTTACTTGCTCATTTATTTCTTAACCTGCTAAAACCAGTGGTCAAGAAGGGGTTTTCTCTTTCTCTCATGAGAGCTTTTCATATTGCAACCGCTCTGTGTATTTTTGCAAGAAATGGAGAACCTGCACTCAAAAAGTGATAGAGTCTGGAGACACTGATGACTTGTTTGCTTTTTCAAATAGCCAGTTTTAATGCAATGTCTCTTCTGCCCCTCTTGGCTGAAGTAACACCAAGATTTTCACTACAGCCTGTTGAGAATCACAGGAATAAGGATAAAGTAATAGTGCAGAATAAGTGGGAAATGCTTGAATGGATTTTGCATATTGAGCAAAGACAGTGACAGAGACGCACAAAGTTGCATTGTTCTTATCCTAAGTCATCATACAATGTTTTTTGAGAACTGTCTTGTAACATAAAATCTCTTAATTTTTAATTTTTAATATGAATCTCCATAGCACTGAGCCTGTAAGGGTCATAAGACAACCCTTATATGAAATCAGGCATTGTGTTTAGAAAGACTTAATTTCAGGACGTGTTTCCTAAACCTGAGCTATAAACAAGTTTAATTATGCTAAATTCTGAGAAATGTGTTTTTAATCAGAACTGTTAATTTAAAAATAATTTCACTGGATTACTGTTGCTTAATTATCTTGAAGGAATCTCATTTGAGACTAAGCCTTTGGAAACATTTGAAGCATACTGTTACCAAAGATTTATATACACTTCATTTTTATTTAAAAAAAGTCTTCATATAACTTTTCTACACTAGAATCTGTAATCACAAGATGTCATTTCTTTCCTAATCTTTGCATTTATTTGGAATACAACATAGATGAAGGGTTAATTCTTTGATGGAACATCTTTATATATTTTTGCATTTCTCTGTCTTGAGTTGGATAAAAATTATGTCTTACGGTTGCACATGGAGACCTGACCAAGTCATACCTTGTTTCTGAATACTTGCTCAAGGACAATAGTTTTAAGTAACTCAGTCTTATAATGAGTAGGAGAAAGGAAGCTGTGTTTTCTGCTGTTCTCATGGGGAAACATTGAGAAATTATGTGATCTGTACAGAAGATTACAGACAATGCATGAGAAGCTGGAATCATTTCAGGGGCTATTTTCTTAATGGAATGTAAGTTATTTGTCTTTATCTGCACTTTTTTTTTCTTTTTTTGTAGTCAGTTATTGCAATTATTTCTCAGCAGTAGGTAGTTTCATATGGGTTTTGTTTCATCTGTGCCATGAACCGAAATATTTTGGATATAACTCCGTGCAGAGTCAACTATACAGTCTGTCTGCATTTAAACCCAGGCATAGTGCTACACAATTAGGGTCTTTTCAGATCTCTATTGATCTAAACCCATGCAAAGTCAGGTTGACTCAGAGTATTTATGTTCCTGTTATTGGGAATGTAGTAGCTCTCTAAGTGTTGAGAGCATGGACCTCGAGGAAAAAGTTTGCCTGGCTCAAGGCTGGCTTCTGCAGAGGCATGTGGGTATCTTTGCACTATCCTTCCAATATAAGGAGGACACTAATATTTGGTGTTGTGCCTAGTAAGCTTCCACTAACCTGGCAAGAGTGATACAAAGATGTCCAGACAGCACAGCAGAGGTATGCATGCTTCTATTAGCTCTGGCTGTGTCTTGGCCATGCCATTGATGGGCTGGCTCTGGGTGGACATATGCAGCAGTCTCTGTACAGAAGTTCTCATTTTATTTAATAAACTTGGAAGAGGAGAACCATATAGTCCCAACTTCCCGGTGAAGATGATGGAAAATTAATTGTAGTGTGATATGTTTTTGTGGCAGCTGCTGCTTTTTGCATTTTTTAAATGAAGAACTTTTGATGGATAAAAAGATGGAATGAATGTATGGAACAAGTTGGGGAAAATGAACAGTAGCAAATCACCAGGACCACACCAAGTTAACCTAAGAGTTCCCACTTGTCTATCTTTCTGAATAAATGAAGTAAAAGTGAAGAAGGAAAAAAAAAAATAAAGGTGTGCCATATTCAAAAAGAAGAAAGCAAAAGGAGACGATTCTTCACAGGGCAGGTAGTCAACCAGTGGAAAATTGGACAACTTCATGAAAGAGAAATCTGTTGAGAGTTAATAAATACATAGAAACTATTACTAAGAAGGTCTCGAAATTTATTAAAAGATGTATCCTGAATGCCTCCTGTTTTCTTTTACTCTTTCCTAGACATCACATTTTGACATTTGTTAGACCAAAAATCCATCGTCCTGTCACTGACCCAGTATAGTGACAGTGTCTTGCATCTAATTCAATAAAGTTTTGGCTTTTTCAGCTAATGAAATTTGGAAGCTCCAATATTCTATTTGGAAGCCTGTATTTTTCTAATCATATTCTATCCACATTCTGCTCTAAATGAAATAAATTATGTCTACAGCCATTGTCCACTACTGCATTAAGTGCTTTATTCTACTTCTTCACCAAAAATTTCAGGCTTGTAAAATGTACAGTTCCAGATGATAAATTATGATTACAATCTTTAAGTTAAAATGTTGCTGTTTCTTCCTGTCCTTCCTTGAAACTCAGACTCTTTTCTGTGGCTGGAGGTGCCTGGATTTATTGATACCTATTGAAACTGTCTTTTGCTAAGTCCAATGGGATTTCTCAGTGGACCATGTTCTGTCCTCCATTAAAGCTAACAGAAATCCTGAATCAACTGTAATAGGTGCATGATTAGAGCTTAAATTTCAGAGATTTAAAATGAGGGAAAGGTTAGCTTTTCTGTGTTTTCTAGTCAGTGACCATACTTGTGTATTTTACCTGCTGTTGTCAAATTCTGTTGCCAGTGCGTAATAAATTTATTTTTTTTTTGTTTACATTCATCTTCACTGAAAGAGCTGAGTGGACCAGATTGGCTCGGTGGTCAGTACCAAATTAAATACAATATTACCAGATTTTTTCAGTCCCTCTGCTTGAGGAGACCAAATGGACCTAAATTGCTGCCTGTTTTTGAGTACAGCCTAGCTAAACTTCACTAACTAGGAAGATCCAGTTACTGTTTCAGAGCCAAATCTGCCCAGCAAACAGAAAACCTTAGTAAGTGACATTACACAATGTCAAGTAAAGCTTCTCTGCATGCTGTTTCTAGTAGAGTCAGACATCAGAATCCCTGTAAATTTCATAAAACATGAAGCTAAAGTCAATACCTGTGACAGGAAAACATGCTCATGGGTTATTTTCCTAGGTCAAGAACCTCAGCATTAAACACTCTGTGGAGTTTGTTGATCAGAACTTCTTACGCTGTGAAAAAGGAGAGGAGGCTGTGTGTCAGGAATGAATGATGTATATGGTGTATGAAACTGTTCAGCCTGCAATAAATGTTTAGGTCTTTTTTTTTGTGCAGGACATAAGCAGAGGAATGGCAGATGGTAGTCATTTTGTGCTTAAAATTATGGTGCTGAAATATTTAAGTAACCAAGAGCAGCTACTGCAGTGGTCTTGTAGAGTTGTGTGCTCCAGTCAGTACCAGCTTCTGTAGTGTCACTTTGTTTCCTGTGTTTGCAAAGAAAGCTGTACTTCATGATTTTATGGTAGCTGACAATTTTATGCATTTAGCTGTTCTTTGCTGCTAGTATAATGTATTCAGTAGGATTAGTTAGGTCCTGCTACCCGATACAAGAAATTCTGGTATCAATAGCCTTTCTCTTGTTGCTTCATCTGCTTAAGCTGTCTCTACCCAATAATAAAGAGGTTTTGGTTAAACTGTTAAAATTTACAGTTAGTATTCCCTGAGACCACTTATAGTAGTTCATCAGCTGAACACTGTTTTTCCTTTAAACCATCTGACTGTTTATTCTAGGAAGCCACTGAAACACACCATTATAGTACACTTTGGGGAGCAATAAAAGGACCTGTCTTTGCAGCAGTACAGTCTGGGGACTGACTGGCTGTGGAGCAGCTCTGCTGGAAAGGAGATGGGGTCTTGTTACACAGCAAGCTGAACAAGAGCCAGCAGTGTGTCCTTGCAGAAAAGAAGGGCAACAGCTTCCTGGGCTATATTAACAGGAGCACAGCCAAGGAAGCGAGGATCTCTCTCTTTTCAGCATTCATTGGTCTGCATCTGGAATTACTATGCTCAGTTTGGGGGCATCCAGTACAGGAAGGATATTGATAAACTAGAGTGATTCCAGCAGAAGCCCCACTGAGATGGTTGGGGACTTGAGTACCTACACCATGAGAAAAAGCTGCAGAAGCTGGACTTGTCCAGCCTGGAGAAGAGAAGGCTTTAGTGGAAGCTAATAGCTTTTGGATACCTACATTGAGGTGATCAGGCAGATAGAGCCAGGCTCTTAACGGTGGTGCATGGCAAGAGGATGAGAGATAAAGGGCAGCTGAAACATTAAAGGTTCAGATTGGACATAAGGGAAAACTTTTCACTATGAGGACAGCCAGGCATTGGAAAAAGTTGCCTGGAAAGGCTGTGCCATGTCCATGCTTGGAGAATTCAAGACCAACTGAGTAACCTGATCAGACATAACTGACCCTGCTCCTAATCAGGAGCTAGAGAAATCTTGAGGTCCCTTCGAACTTGAATTATCCTCTAATTCTATAAAGCCTCTCCAAAAGAAAAGATAATGTTCATAATACAGATGTAACCTCTTTGTTGGTTGCCAATACCAGCATACTTAAAATATCCATTGTGTGGCCAGGTACTTAACTGAGCAGGTATGACCCATGTGACGTACTTACTTGTCGTGGCATTAGCTGTATAAACTTCAGCCAGTTTATAAATGTGTAAACACCCAAACTCAGTCAATATTAGAAACTAAGATCATCAAGCTATGAAGTGCTGTATTATTGAAAGATCCCAAAAGAAGTAATCGTTTCTCTACTGTTTCCTGGTGTGATATCCTGATGGTGCGCAAGAATGATTTCTATCTGTATGTACTGATACATCTTCATTGCAACATGTTGCATGGCTCTTCTCACGTTGGTTCTTATGTGGCTTTTCTCATTGCTTGCTTAAATCTTGTCCTCGCTGCCTGAAGGAGAATGTAGGAAAAATAAAACTAATGCAGTGCTCCCAGTTTGCTGAAAGCTTTTGAAAGCCCCTGTGTTATTTGGAGCCGTAATAGACTCAAACAGATTAATTATGTGTGTGCAGACCAATGCTGTATCACAGACTCAGTGAAAGTTATTTTACTGTCCTTAAGATGGAGTTTTTCTTCAAGGGTAAGTGTTGTGTTCAACACAAGCTTTTTTCTAGGTGTTTGGATTTCCAGCAAATCATTTTCAAAGGAAAATACAGGAGAAGCTGTGTCCCATTAGCTTTTTTAAAGAGGAAATGGAATTTTACCATGGAATGGTTAAACTAGATATAAGGAAGAAATTGTTTACAATGACGGTGGTACTTCCTTAACTTGCTTTGAACTTTCAGTGCCTCATAGTACTGTAATTCTTTCTAGTGTTCTAGTGCCATTTGAAAAAATGAAATCTAGCTGCTATAGCATCAGTTATAGATGATGTATGGGTTCTTTAGCCTAAAATCTTCAGTCTTGTTTGGTTTTTTCGAGAATTATACCAAAAAATCTTTCTCCTTTTTTTTGTCCTTTGCTATTTGTTCTTTTGTTTTTCATCTGCTTCCCTGAATTCTTATCTACCATGATATATACAGATTCCACACTAGAAGAGTATACAAAGTGTTTCATGGTCTGTCCTAGGACTCTACATGTATTCCCCACACCACATGCCAGAAGTGCAAAACATGGAAGAAAGGTTAGGATTAAGGAAGTTAGCAACACCTAAAGCAGAAATACCATGTAAATTCAAAGACTGAAAGAATGGGATATGTCAGATCTGCAGATGATGGTGAGAGAGGAGTTTTGCTGGGATAGAAACATTCTGGTTTTAGACAATGTGTTCAGTTTACTAAGAAGAAGAGGCTTAATCTCAATCCCTGAGATACCACCCAAATCCAGGGTTGCATTGAAGCTCTTACTATAGGTTTACTCTTCAAAGTCACAATTGAAACTAAAGAGAAAAAAAACCGATGGCTTCAAAGCCATTTTTCTGTGGGATTTTTACCCAGCTAGTATAGCTTCTTGAGGCTAAACTGTTGTGTCAGCTGCATATACATACATCCATGCTTAACCACGTGCTGTCTCTGTAGAGGGGCTCTGGACCCAGCCATACATGGCTGTCAACGTCTGGCAGAGTAGCCCTACCTACCTAATCTCCAAATGCATCAACCTCACCCTAATTAGGTCCCATTTGTAAATAAAACAAATGTTCTTGAAAGAGCACTTATCTCCTCCTTTTCTCTTCGCCTTGCCCTACCTATCTGCGGACTATCTCACTGCATTTCACTTAACATTACTTCTTACAGAGTTAACCATTTGGGCTTACTTCTCTGGCAGAGACAGACATGGAGCTTCAGGCCACCTTTTGTTACACTTGATTCAGTTCAAGATCAGTGTTTCTATAGATTTCATAAACTGACAGATTGAAGGTTTTCGTAGCCACAGTTTTTAACCACAGGTTGTTGAAAATTATCCAAGGATTGTCTTTGAGCATACTGAAAAAAAATTGTTATATTCTTCTTCATTCCACCAAAAATCCCACATTGTTATATTCTTCTGCATTGCTCCAAAAAGCCCATATATATAAATATTCTATGAATTACCAGATAGATAGTTAAAGTGGTGCCAGCCACTGTTTTCTGTTTCACAAATCTTCATAGCATTTCAGTATTTGCAATGTAATCCTGGTGATACGTACAAACTAGAGGACAAGCGGCTGGAGAGCATGCCTGGAGAAAGAGATCTGGGTTGATGGCAAGTTGATATGAGTCAAGAGTGTGCCCTGGCAGTCAAAAGGGCCAACTGTGTCCTGAGATGCATCAAGCACAGCATAGCTAGCTGGTCAAAGGATGTGATTTTCCCACTCTACACTGCACTGGTGCAGCCCCACGTGAACAACTCTGTGTGGTTTTTGCCACCTTGCTATAAGAAGGACATCAGACTATGTAGGGTGTCCAGAGGAGGAGGGTGACCATGATGGTGAAAGGCTTTGAGGGCAAGATTTACAACGAGCAGCTGAGGTCACTTGGTTTATTCAGTTTGGAGAAGGCTCAGGGGTGACCTCATGGCAGTCTACAGTTTAATGAAATTTTTTATATATTGTATGTAAAATGTTCATGTCAATGATATAGTGAGTGGACCAAGAGAGTATCTTTATCTTTTATAAACACTAATATGACTTTCATAAATTCAGAACATACAGTTGTTTTGAGTAATCATCTATGGTAAGTTATGTCTGTGTATAGTGGTAGAAGGTCTTTACTAACAGTTTAAAAATAATAATTTAATAAATGAGAGTGGCCCTTACTTATGTTGCAAAAGCTTAATTTATTCCTGGCTGCTGAATAGTGATATTCCACAAGCCTCAGTTCTCTTAGTAGTATTGATGTTTCTAAAATTATTTTTTAGGAACAGTTAGAAAGTGAGAGCATGAAGTTGAAGCAACTTGAAGACAAAAGCAATCAAAAGGAAAGGAAGTATTTATCTATTATTTCCAACCAAGAAGATAAAATAAGAACTCTGAAAAGCAAATTGAAAGACTTAAATGAAGCACAAAAGGGTATACAGGTGCCAACATATAAAAGGGAGGTAAGATAAAAAACCAAGTGGTTGAGATAAAATGAAAAAAACCCAAACATTTGTAAATTATTACGTTTCAAACATATTTATACTAATTATTCTAAGAAATTGATCTTAAATTTCAGCATTATATAATTACGAGGAAATCATTAAAGTATATAAAGCACACAGGAAACACCAAAATATTAAATACATATTGACTGATCTGTGTGTTAATCATTTTATATTATGTCATTAAAATTTTCATATTTGTGAAAACTCCAGCATTTCCGTTTTATAATTTTCAGTTGGAAGTTTTCACCAAGACTGAGTTTTTTCAGTTTTTTATGCCACCCTATTTTTGTTACAGAATAGCAACCAGAGTGCTATTCTGTCCTTGTGGGATAGCTAGAGTGCAGTCATCCATGTGAATCTAACCACATCGCCATATTTTAGATAGCTAATTTAAAGTGAACATAGGTAAGGGGAGGAGCACAGCAACACATAACTTGTTGCTATTAGACTTCCTAAGCATTACGTAAGTCACGGTGGTAAGCATTTCTAACCCACGTTACTAGGTATAAGGCAGCTCAAATGTGCCTATGGGAGCTGCAGTTGCACTTTAGTGCAAGGTAAGACCTGTAGGCTCTAGGTCTGTGATTATAAATAACGTATCATCGAAATCAGCTTATTTGGCAGACATATGATCAAGTTCTCTGTCTGATTTGGAGCACATATGAACTACCCAGACCATCTGGTAATGTAGATCTAGTGGAACTGCAGCTTAATGACTGCTTATTATAAAAACTTCCCTTAATGCCTGGTCTTAAAACTGTGTAATACTAGAGTTAACCACAAGGTGGTAGTCAAAGTTAATATCTTATTTAAAAACCTGCTAAAAACTCTTGACGCATTAGCTTGTGATGTGTTCATTGAAAATTTCAGTGAATAAATTGATTTTTAAGAGCTAAAATAACTGGATACCTCACTAACAAGCTCATGCACAATACAAAATTTACCTTATACATGATTGAACCAGAATGACAGTCAAGCAATATTCTTAGAACCAGTTTCCTTTCAAGGGAGTATGAGCAGAGGAATGCCATACTGAGTTGCTAAGTTAAACTAAAAATAGGAATTTCACACAAACAGTAAAAAACTGGTTTTGTCATTTTGTGAATGTTTTGAGAGCTTCCAGAAGGACTAGGTGAAGGATCCTGTGACATTTTTATTCATATCAGGGTGAAGAGCAAAATTAATATGCTAACTTGTAATCAATATTTTCATCTTTTACTTCAAGGTGAAAAGTAAGAAAATTGTTCCAGATAAGCCTGAATTATCTCTAGGGATCTCCGGTATTTCACCTATGCCTGAAAGGTAAATACTTTTGCAGCATTTTTAAAATTTGCTTTTAATTGTCTTTTCTGCTATTAAATAAGACCACATATTTGCCTTTTTTCTAAACAGTACCTTAAAAAAATGGATGGGGCATGGGGAGAGCATCACAGGTCAAAGAGCTGGTGTGGGAAGGTAATAAAGCCGGCAACTACATGGAATTATAGCTGGGGCTTTGCAAGTATGTAAGCAGCAGTTGGGAGGAAGGAAAATAGCCACTTCGTTCAGCGGGAGGTTAAACTCTGCAGGAAACAGCAGTGGATGTTAATGCTGGGGTTTGGATAAGCATTAACTCCCTTGCATTAACTCTCTTCAGAAGAGGAATGTACAACCATAATGGATTAATTGATGGCAGCACAGCAGAGGAGCCTGCTGCGCTGCCAGGAGGAGGTCTGATAGTCAGCTTGAAGAAATAATTCTTGGCCTGATTCATCCTAAATAAGAGAGTTTGAAACCAGGTTTATCTGTTCACTGAAACCAGCCAGCCCTTGCTATGACCAAGGGACCAAAAGCAGTATTTTTGTTATGCAAGTATTCCCTCTTCTGCCAGTGTTTTGGGAAAAATATTGACCAAAGTCTTAGGTTTGCATTTTTCACAGGATAGGCATTAATACCAGTTGTAACAATTTTGCTGGGATCACGTAGAAGATTCTCTAGGACAGTATTAGGGAAAAGTATCATAAACTAACTGTCTTCTTATACTGTTGCCGACACATCTGCTTTTGGCCACTCTCAGACATACGTTGGGTGAACTGTGAGGATCTTTAATCTGACTCACTACTGCTTTATGATAAGAAAGAGAGGAAATAAGACCGGGATGTGATGTGATAAAGACTTTTTTTGTCTTTACTGATTTATATCTAAAAAATGAAAAACCTTTACCTGTCTTCTGTCTCCCTCCTCTCAAATAGCTCCCTTACTTTACTGTTTTCTTGGAAAGAGGTATGTGGCTGGTAAGATTACTGGTAATCTTACACTGGTAAGATTATAGTATCACAAATGTCTAGCATACTAAGATTGATTTATCTAATGATATATGCATTTAAGCTCCAATTAGAAACTTGAGTCTTTTTTAATTTCATAATTATCAAAACACCTGAAAAATGGTCAGGATGTAAGTGTTAACAGTAGCAAGTTTAACTTCTGTAGATTTTTTTTTCAAGTGAGATACAAATAGACATCTTCCAAAAAGAGAAGCACAGCAGAAGTAGGAACACAGCTCGTGACACTCCTGATTGCTATATGAATACGTAACAAAAAGGAAAACAATTCACTGGATTAAAGAAAAATCCCTTTTGAGCTCTTTTGATACAAAGATGCAAAAGAGAACACAAATCCATTTTGTCACCAACTTAATTTTTTCATCCTTGAAGTTTGTTTTATAAAATCCGTGATATTGTGCTTAGAAATATAAATTCCTCAGTAAGTTTACTAAAATTTCACAATGGAATTTTATGGATGCATCAGTAACTGAGTAATATAGTGCCTTTGGGCAAATAAAACTCATACCAGCATGAAGAACTATTTTTACCATTCTTAGTGCAGATAACTAAATATCAGATGTATGATACTCTGAAAAAGATATAATATAAAAAGGCCTTCAAAATAAAAGGAAAAGTAATGTGATACTGTCTAAAACAGAGAGAGAATGAATTCATGAGCCCCTCTCCAAAATGTCAGGTATACAGAGAAGGAAGAAGTAACAAATGCTTGTGTGTTCCTTCTCCTGCAAAATCTGAAGCGCACAGAAAACAATGGAGAACAATTAATGTTCACAGCAGCAGCATCTTATTTTCTGTACAATGAGATAGAAACAGTACCCTTGTGAAAGATAAGCTCTTCCACAAAATATCTGAGGGAACTGAAAGAAATGTAAAGGCCAGATTTTTGGGGGAGTTCCTTGCAGAGTCAAGCCCTAAGCTCAAAGGTAGGTGTGTATGCTATGACTAAACAGCTCTTTGACAACATTTTCTTTTCCATTTTCTGCTTGCTTTTACTGAGAAGAATAAAAATATGTATACATGTAAAATTATCCAAGAAAAGTAGCTCACACTATTGTTTTTCTCTGGTTTGTGGGTGTGACTAGATTAAAGGTCACAACTAGCTGAATTGGTTGACTTTAATTTACAATTTTGATCTTCCAGGGAGAATCTGGAGACTATTTTCCAGGACATGAAAGAAGAGTGTCATCGAATCTGTATGCTAGCCAGAGAACAAACAGACCAACTGAGTAAATTTAAGATAAAGCCAGAACCTGAAACTGGTAATATCATACTTAAGCTCTTATTGTGATTCAGCTGTTTGAAAGCTTTGCTTTATATTTGAAAATACTGTAAATTACACATACATAGAAGTACTTCCACTGTTTACCATCTGCCTTTTTCAAGTCTGTTCACATGGTGCTCAGTATTTCACCAAGAAAAAGCACCGCCAGTTTTGGCATTCTATGACGAATGCTCCAAATCACATGCTATAAAAGCCAGTCATCACATCAATGGCTCTTGTAATTGTTTTGTCCCTTGGAGTGAGAGGCAGGCACTTACTACATGTGATATCCCATCATACTGTGTGAATGACAGCACTTGCTTGCTTTTAATTTAGCTGTCAGTTCAAAAGATGTCTGTTAGGAATGTCTCTAGCCCCATATCTGTTAGAGGAAAACTGCTGGACTGAGGAGAGTCACAGGACTTCTTTTCTAGACTTCCTTGTGCAGGCTTCTGAATACCATTTTGTTATATGAGACAAGAGCTTAATCCAGCAGTTCCTGAAAACAAAAGAAGGGCTTGATTTTTGATGCAACTGGAAGAGATCCTGAATGTCCACTTCTGCTAATGCTTACATTTAAAATCATGTAAGCTACTATGGGTATTCCCTATTAGCTTTTCTTATTAGTAGGATCAGACTCTTAAGTGATTTCAAAAAAGACGTGCCAGACTTAAACAGTTGAAGCAGAAGATGCTGATTTCAGGACTTGCTTCTAATTTAGGTTATACCGTTACCAAAGTTTTGTTACACGAAGCGCTAATGTCTAGCTTGTGTCTTCAAATCACTATGTCTGATTGTTATATTCTGATTGTACAATACTAAACGTTATTGTTTGGGGGTTGGAATTTTGAGGGATGAGTCCTTGGTGACTTATTTCAGAATGGATTTGTTTTCCTTAAATGAGTGTCTAACTCAACTGTGTGAAAAGCTATACATGATATAGATTTAATCTGCTTGATTTCTGTGGCCCACATTACCACAATATCTGAGTGAAGTCAGCAGGCTGCTGTACAGTAAACGTGTACTGATGTTATTCTCTCACCTTATTAGGAGTAATCATATAGATTATTACTATTTTTGTTCATAATATGCCAAAAATTGAGGGAAAAGTCTCAAAACAAAGGGGAAATAAGCTCCCACTTATGAGTAGTTATTCAGTTTAAATACTTACCTAATTTGGAAACCAATGTGAGTTTGGTACCTGAATACATTCTAAAATTGTGTTCATGGTGCCTAGCATGTTCTTGGCACCGTGTGAAATGGTGTTGGTTCCAGCTTCTATTTCTGCCAGAAAACTTCCGTAAATATATGCAAGTATGTGTTAAGAGTATGGGACAACATAATTTTCAATAAAATGATAGGTTTCTAGCCATAAATCAAAGAGAAATAGAACTGTTAGAACAGAATTACTTGCTTTTAGTTTGGTTCTGATAATTTTTGTGTCAGAGCTAATGTTTGTGAAAGAGAACTACGCCTCAAACTGATTTCAAAGAGAAAAAAATAAAGGTTAAAAAGCCAAGAAGGAAGATCAAAAACCTCTCGGGGAAAATACCCCAATGCCTCACCTTTAATAGTTATACTTCAGTGGACTATTTAATGTTTTCTTCATTCTTTTTTCACAGAAATACAGTTTTCCATGCCGATACAGTGTACTGATAAAACTGATGAACAAGCAGAAGAGCTTTTTAAGCCTCGGGTTATAAAGGATATAAATAGAGGTGCATCATGCATCACATCTATCACACCAAGAGGAGTGGGCCAAGATGAGGACAACAACTCTGTAGAATCACTTTCTAAATTTAATGTCAAGTTTCCACCTACAGACAATGACTCTGCTTTCTTGCAGAGCACTCAGGAAAAACCAACAGTTCCTTGTACTGGTATAGCTGAAAACATGCTTCAAGATCAGAATTTTAACCTGGAGCACAGAGACCGTGCTGTTAACCTCAGTAAATTGGAACCTAACTCATTTGAAGCTCATGGAGTTGATCTCATGACCTCAGCTTTACAAAGCTTAACTACTGTTGACAAAACAACCCCCCCAAATCATGCAAACATGCCCATAGAAAATACCCATGACAAAACATGTTTGAAAACAACAGACACTGGTTTCACATTTGTACCTAAGCACACAAACCAGGGTGTACCTGAAGTAATTTTTTCTTCTTTAGAAGCTGCTGGGACAACCATCAGAGGTCCTCATCAGGTATCTTTCTATAAATACTGTACATTTCAAAAAATTATAATGATTCGAACAACCACTTTGCAAAGATCTTTGAGACAGAATTAATATCCTCTATGAGGTCTGTCTGTTTTTAAGACAACCTCTCCTGTCAGTTCTTCTTCCTGATCCTGAAGTACGTATACAAGGCACTTTTCCAGTGAAAGGGCAGGAATTCAAGCAGATGTAAGCACTGGATATGCTTGCACAAATTTCAGTTCATTTAGATATTAATTGCTTCTATATCTATTTCAAAGCTGTCATTAATTGTACATTGCCCTCTAGATTGCTTCCTTTCTACCCTTGATCTCAGCTGAATAGGGCACATAATTGTTTTAATTGTTTTTAATGTACAGCAGAGAATATGACAAATGGACTAATTAAAAAGCTGAACAGATAAATACTTCACTGTGGGAAAATGTTCTACTTTTTATCTCGATCTGAAGTATAAAGAGTACCTTATTCCTCTCCTCTAAAAAGACGTAGTTTTTTTTTTCAGAGTTTAAGTAGTCAAGGAGGAAAGCATATTTATTTTTTCAAAAGAAGGGAAGTTCACTAAAATATTTTATTTTAGGTTTATGGAGGTACTTTGTGCTTGACTTTCAGTTATAGCCACCCGAAGTCCACGGGAGCTTCTGAAAGCAAGGCCCAGTTGCTGTAATGCAGAAAAACATTTCAGCAGGTTCTGACAATCACGTCTCTGAATACGTTGTTTCTTTGGTGTAACATCCTATCTCAACTGAAATTGCTGGCAAAATTATGGACCTTTATGGACTGATTTTTTTACACTACTGTGGTTTTTCTCACACCTTGTGAGAGGACAGCTTTTCAAGAATAAGCAAATAGTGATATTTAGGATTTCTGTGAGGGTTTATTTGTCATATTGTTATTATTTAGATTGATGTGGTTTTGTGTACTTTGCTAATAACAAGGTACATGCAGCAAAACAGCTTTACCTCTCAATTTCACCACTGCATAACATGCAAACTAGCATTTGGAAAGCATTTGTAGGACGTGATAGCTTTGATGTTTACTTCTCCTAAAACATATCCAGTCTAGTTTAATTTTCTACTGCAAATTAGTTTTGGATGAAAACTTTGAATAGTAGAAAGTTTGCTGTTCTTCATCATTGTATTTTAAACTATAAGTCTGATTTTTCAAAATGTATTTTAAATATCTATTTGTAATGTAAGATAGCTCAATTCTATACCAACTTAGTAATCACCGCTATTGTGCTCTATTTTTCCTTCGTCTTCAGCTAAAGTTGTGACTGAGTTAAACAAATTAAACCCTTTATTTTAGCACTGGTAGAATTCCTGTGGAGCTGTGAAGCATTCAGTCTATTGCTTGTTACTGTCCTCTTTTTCTGTATTCCCTCTCCAGCTTGTTCTTTTACTAGTTAGTCTGTGTATTCATTTTTCAATAGATGGCACCCTGCATTGTATATTACAGCAAGTGAAACAGCTGGTATGTGATTATAAATTGATAGGAGAGTATGCAGCTTAAAAAAGTAGAAAAGAATTGTGGTTGAATAGCAATAAGCCCTTAGTTTGATCATTGATATTTCTGCAAAATAAGGAGATTCATTTGGAGTCATAGTTTAAAATGTAAATGTTCAACTTTGTGGAGAAAATACAATAATGCTAACAATTGGAGAAAAGAAAGGCAATAGTGAACTGTTCCAGTATTTGTAAGTCATATCTACAATAGTACTGTAGAACATACAGGACTGATTAAAATGTTATATCTGATCCTTAAGCTTGTTTGAAACAAGTCAGTATTACTTCAGGATCCATTAAACATACATCTGTGTATATCAGTATGTTTAAACATCCATCATCTTTATTCAGCTGCCTTCAAAAGATGTTTTTAAGTATTTTTCCCAGTTAATTACTCAGTTTTATTTTCTTCTAACTGATAATTGTGCTAAAGATTTGATTCACAAATAATATATACGTAGATTAAAATACTAATGTTTTTTAAAGGTTACTTGCATACATGCCCTTTCAACTGTATTAACCTTAACAAAATTTATGCACAAACTTGTTCTTAGTATTTTTATCACCATTCTAAGGGGTGGTCACACTACTTACAGTTTCCGTCATCCCTGCCACTGGTGAAGCTCCAATAGGGAGGAATTATATACCTGATTTTTTTTCCTAGTGTAGATAAAACTTTCAAGTATTTACTACATATGTTAACTTATAAAATGGAAAACCCCATAAATGCAATAGATTTGGCAACAGTAAGTTCTTGGAACTGCTCTCAGTTGCTGTAATAAATTTAGCTCTTTCCTTCTATGTAGATACTAAATGTGAAAACTCAGTACTGTTTTCTTAGGATGTAACTTTTTAAAAAAACATGTGACTGAAAAGAGCAGCAGATTAAAATAAACACGGATATTAGTGGACCTAGGATTTTACAGACTACATTTAACTGAGACTTGCTATAGATGCGTGTGTTTATTGGTATTCACAGTTTGAGGGGGTTGTTTCCACAAAAAATATTTCTAAGAACGTTCATGATTTTAAAAGCAAATCAATAGTCTATTGATCTTAACCTGAATATTAATGTTTTTGAAATGGAACATCTGCTTAAATATATCCCTCTTCTGAAAAGCATATTAAGCACATGCTTAACACTCCAAAGAAAGAAATGGAAGTTAAGTGCCTGCCTCAGTGGGTTGCTCCCCATGTCATGCTTGCAAGATTAGAAATCTTACTATGTCTTTTATGGGGTTTTTACAATACTATTTTATCTTTTTTTAAGATGGTACTTTACATTGTAAGATACTAGAAACAAGTAATTCTAAGCACATTTCAGTAGGGATGTTTAAGTGTGTCAGTGTCTAGTAGATTTAATATGCAATTTACACCAGCAACATACAATAAGTAGACTCTTTGAGCTGAAAAAAGTGGTGTGATTGCACTTAATTACTAATTAGTCAATTTAATTATATGGATTGCTGGCCATAATGAAAGACAGTAAATCTGCTATTGCTATCTGATAAGCTAAACACTGTTTAAATAGGGAAGAGACAGGAAATTGACTACAAAAAGTTTAGCTGGTTTAAAAACGAGATTTAACTGCTATGAAAGCCACATTAGTTGTACAGTGAGTTACCACGGAATAAACAATAGATTCTAACTATTTGACATGATGAAATTTGAATTAGAGCTGAAAATTAAAACTCTTGAGTAAGTATCAATAGCAAGAAATTTAAAACTTCTGAAGAAACTACTTTCTAAAGCATTCTCGCATGCCTTTCCATGTGTGAGTGAAGCAAGAGAGAAGAAAACGGAGCCAAAAAAAACTGTAGGGTGCTCTCCTCTTCTAGGTTGCATCCCCACATAAAGCTCCTACCAGCTTGCTGCTATTCTGGCTACTTTGCAGTCACGGCAGTATGCATTTAGTTTTCAATTTACTCAAAACTTAATCATCCTGGCTGTATATGTATTTTATCTCATGTTGTTTATCTATGTATTTTATCTCATGTTGCTAATACTTTAATGAAAGTTATTTTTTAACTTTACTTTGAAAACTGATAAAAGACTTTTTGATTCCTAGTTGGTATGACCCTAAATAATTAATGTACACTCTGACTTAAAGTATCTCTCAGGCTAAAGTCCCTTGAATTCCCACATCAGATAAACAAACTTGCTGGCTTTAAACTAGCGAGCTTAGGGACCACAAGCAGTACAGCTGCTGAACCAAATTTAGCATGGTTTGCAGAATTGCCTGAATGCATGGATAGGTATTCAGATGGTCCCGTTGAGTTTGATGCTGTCATGGCAGCATCATCAGGAATCCCAAAACAGATTATTTGAGACACATTTACACTAAAAGGCAGTCTGAGCAAGTAAGCAACTTAAGACATATGACGTTGCTCTGGTCATCTTACAAGTAAACTGAAAACTAGTTATGCATCAGTAAGAATAGAAATAAAATAAGATTCATATTAACTCTCTACAAGAAACATTTTATTCTAAGGTAAAAATGTGTTTTCTCATTTCTGTTAAATGACTGTTATGTACTATGGCTCCCACAGTAAAATACTGAAATGCAAAGTTAAAGAAAAGCTTTAACATATGAGACTGATACTACAGACTTTTGTTTATAGCAGTATGTATCATTAATAGATAGCAAGGCATTTTAAGTGATTGCAAGGATAGTATGTTTATAGAGCTTTAAAAAATCGAAGTCCTATCTTGCTTTCCTTAAATGAGAACTCTCTAATTAATGTCTCTGACCAGGCAGCTGTAGAGAACACCTAGTTTATAGAGGCAGGTATTTTTTTATATATAAATATAAACCACAGCATAACGTAAACCACAGCAATAATCATTTTCTGTTTCTTTTAGCTCATTTGGCAGCCTCGAGACAATGATTTGCTGGCACAAGCTTATACAGACTCTGAACTGAATCAGGGCGGAATATGTGAATTCTGTCGAGAAGTTTTCCCACCATCTCTAACATCTAAGGAAGATTTTCTTCGGCATCTGAATTCCCACTTTAAAGTACAGTCTTGATGTATGAGAATTCAATGGATCACTGTTTTTGCATACATTTGATTTTTTTTTTATTCAATAGATATGTTAAGAATTTAAGAATTAAGACTTCTTGTAACAAGAACTCATGACTGAAATTGTCATATAAGCACATTTTTAATTGTCCTTTGACAAGGTAAAATGAAACTAAGTCACTCGGTACTGTAATTCACATTACTGCTTGTTATGCTTCAATATTACCTTTGAGAGTGATGTTAAACACCTTTTTTCTTTTCTTTTTTTTTTTTTTTTTTGCAATTAATCATTGCCTGAATAGGTCCAAAGACATGATTTTATTTTTGAATGTAGACTTGCAGGATTAATGCCTTAACCTGGCTGGGGAAACTGGTGTAATGCTAATATCCAGTATCCTCAGTATCCAGTGATGTGATTATGTTTTCCTTGAAGTAAACAGGAAGAGAAGTAGGCTCTCCTTTTTAATTTCTGTTACAAAATTTCCAAATTTCACTTACAATAGTAAACCTCTCAATTCAGATTCTTGTAAAATCATCACAGTAAGTGAATGCCAGGTGTGCCAAAATGAGGATAGGCCTGTTCACTAGTAAGATAAATAAATGGTTGACTTTCCCAGATGAATTGTTTACTAGAGAGAGTAATCAAACACAGCCCATAAATTACTTCTGCCAAAATGTAACAGCAGCAGTTTCGTGGATATCCGTTACATGTTATAAAAAAAATAAGGATTTTCTTCATGTACCTTTCTAGCATTAATAATTAGTTAAAAATGCTTTCATGGAAAAGGTTATATTAGTATGAAGGACAGAGTGAGAAAAGGTTAAGCTTTCCCTAAAACTAATAATAACAAAGATTATTTCCCTTTCCTTCTGGTCTGCTATGAAGGATTGCTCAAGTCTGTTACAGCTTAGAAATGAAAGGGGAAAGCCTAATCACCGAGATCTCAGTGACTTAATCTTTAACCTGAATATGCTTAGTGGCTTTCTCAATGCAATTTAAATTTGTGTTTAGTTGAAACATTGCATTCTGATAAGGTTTGCACATTTTCTGGATTTTCTGGGATCAAATTAAAAGGTGGGGGGGGAGTTTACTAAGTAATTTAAATTAATGGTAAAGGGTGACTTGGAGCTTTTTGCATTTGAACTGAATATAGGTTTTAGTCCTGATATTTGATAATTAGCATTAATATTTTTATAGCAGCAAAGCACAACAGTTTCTCTTTTCAAAGATTTGTTTGCAGGTGACCAATTTCTGGAAGAATTAACACCTGCATAATTTTTAGAAATGGATTTTCCTGCAATTATTTCCTCTATTTTAAACATCTCATGTTTGTGACTGGCTGTCAACAGAGTGTACTGTAATAAACAGCAGTGTACAGTGCGTGTGTGCTGCGTGACCTGGAGAAAGAGCATGTTGCCATGGGCATCTCAAAGGCCCGGCAGGTGCCCAGCGCTGCGGAGGGTCGGTGCATCCCTGGGTTCGCCGTGCGAAGGACCTCCCCGGAGAGCACGGCTGGGGGTGGTTCCTGGGAGAGACACAAGTTCCAGGATTGGGAGGAGAGAAAGGGATTCGCACATCTCCAGCCAGCCCGACACAAAACCGGTTTGCCTTCTCAACCGTTAAATTTGAGCTCAGGAGCTCACGTTATTAAGAGCTGATCAAACTGCGAATCACCTTCAAAGAAAATTAAGTAATCTGTTCGTGTGTGTCCCGTCCCCACCATGCACGGACGCGTTTTCCACATGAGCTCTTCTGCTGGCAGGGAAGGGAGGGGAAGGGCAGGACAGGACGGGGAGCCCTGCACCGAGCCCCCGAGCCGGCCTGGGTTCTGGAGCCAGGCTGTCCGGCCTCCAGCCAGGGCAGCGCAGGGGGACACGGCTGCCCAAAGCCTCCTACACCAGCAGAACCCATCCATCTCCCGCTAGGAGAGCTCCTGCCTACTGCGGCATCTTAGGAAGCTGTTAGATTCGGTGTGCTTAAAACTATTGCTGCCTGAGGGCATCCAGATAGGGTCACCGACCAGAGACCACCGAGAAGGGCACCAGTCTGGTTTATAAATAAATAAATAGAAATAAATAAGTAAAGAAATACATAAATCTCACGCTAAGCAGTTGTGAGCGACTTGAAGTGGGAGGTGAGTGCGGTCCCTGAGTGGGCCCCTCTCATAAAGCTTTCCTGGCGGGGACTGCTGCTGCCAGCAGGGACATCTGCTTGATCGCACTCACCAGAGGAGGCTCAGTATTCCTCCCCTCCGCTCCCCCTTCCACACAAGCTCAACTCAGCAGAGGAGGTTGAACCCAAACGGGAAGTGGGATTTCATTAAAAAAAAAAAAAATCTAGGGGAAGGAAGTGGAGCTTGAGAGAGAACAAGGAGCAGCAGACTTGTGCCAAGGTGTTCTACCGAATCCCCCCTCTGCCAGGGCCGGCAGAATCCTCCCGGGGCAGCGCGGGGGCTGAAGCTTTCGAGGTCCCGTCCGGGCTCACTTGTCCCGGCGCCCCTACCGCGGTGTTGGCGGGAACTCTAGTTCTGACTCGAAAGCAGGGAACCAAACCGCCCCCCTCTCCTCCCCGGGGGGCCTGAGGGGCACGCTGCGGCGCTCCGGCTGCCTCAGCCTGCTGCGAGGGCTCGGTGCCGGCGGCCGGGCAGAACACACGGAGCTCCTCTGTCTCTCCGGCTAACTCGACAGCTGCTCGTAGCTCCAGTAATTAGACTGTCAGTGCTTGTTAGAGGAGAGGAAAACGCTCCTATGACAGATTCCACGAGTCCTCTGTTTTTTAAGATCTCACAGAAATCACTAGAGCATTAACTGGGATCTCTTATTTCTCCGGAATCAGAAGGGAAGAAGTTCCCTCTGCCATCTCGCACTCCAATCAGAGCTCTCTTCCGACTCCCATCAAACACAGTGAATTCACTTTAAGCGGCTCAGGAGAAGTTGTCTTCCTTCCCTCCCTACCCGGGAGGAAGAGCGAGAGCTTCCTGGCCGTGTGAACTTACTTCTAAAATCCCCTCCTCATATTGCTGAATTTAACTAAACAGATAACAGACATGCGGTCTTGTCTCCATTAACTGAGCGGAGGAGTCGCTCCACACACGATCCTTCCCCATCCGAGATAACGTTAATTCAGAGGATGCTCAGGAGACACTGTTCCCCCTTAGGAACAAAAGCAGTGGAGGATCAAGCCGAGATGCTCCTACCCCCACCCGTGGTTCACTCAGCAGATGAGACTCAAGAGGAGGCGATTTCTTTTCCTCCCTACCGTACATTCCCCTTTCCCCCGCAATCATACAAGGTTAACTCAACAGAGGAGTCTCAATCCAAATGGCAACTGGGATTGCATTTAAAAAAAAAAAAAAAAAAGAAACACACTGAAGGAAGGGGGAGAAAAAAATCAGAAATGGGGAAAGAAAAGAGAAAAAGCAGCAGGCTGATTACGAGGTGTCAAAACTGCCAGGAGCAAGAAGGTGATAGCAATCAGGGGTGAGAAGAGTGCGCCATTCGTGCGGGGCAGCTAATTATCCGTCTCATTTGAGAAGAGCAGCATTCGAGGCAGCAGCGTTCGCCTGCTGAACGGTGACAGATTGGCGCGGAGGAGAGGGGAGGTGTTAAAACAATGGAGCCGGGCTTGCGAGCGCTGCTGCATGCTAATCAGCCCGGCCTCCTTCCTTCCTTCCTTCCTCCCTTCCTTCCTATCCCTCCCTCCGCCTGCCTGCCTGCCGCGATCCCTCCTCGCCGGCCGCATGGCAAGCCCGACACAATCAGGCCCCTCCGCAGCAGGCAGCGCCGCGCCCGCCATAGATGGTAACCCAGAGAGGGTCCCGATGGGACCGGGCGGCGGGGCGGCAGCACCCGGGGGGATCTGGCAGGCTGGTGGGTATCAGTGGTAGATTGCAGACCTCGCCCTCGGTGCCCAGGCTTCCAGGAGCCCGTCAGTATGTGTCCCCACGAGGGGCAGAGGCGAGAGAGAGACTTCGTACAAGTCCTGTGGGTTCCTCACGCTGACATCCTGGCTCCCTCTCCCCCGCAGGACGACGGACGATAGTCGGCAGCGCAGCGGTGCTTCCTAGGGAAGCCCTGGACCAGGCCCGCCAATGCAGAGCTGTGCCAATTCCTGATGGGCTCCAGGGGCTCCGTTGCCCTCTTAGTTGTGCGCAGTGACTAGAGCCTGGAATGCTGAACATGTTGTAAGCGAGTTGTAACGGCCTCTCTTCCGCCGCTGCCTTTTGCCTCTCGGATTGCTTGCCCTTGCAAGCCTGAATGACCGCACGTACCCAGTCTGCACCCTGTGAGGAGGTACAGAAAGGGCTGGCCTTGCCTCAGACCAGCAGCAACCCTTCCCATTTACAAACAGGGTCTGCGGAGAGAGGAGAAACGCTTTGCGTGGGATCACTTTGGCCCTAGCTTTCCCTGAAAGTCCACACTCTGGGATTCACAGGGCAGACCCCGGCGCTGGAGCGATAGCAGCCCAGCTACAGCAAGTGCTCCTCTCTGCCAGGAGAAGCAGAGGAATGAGCGTTGGAATGTTTACTCTCCAATATTTCTCAGTTTCCATTCCATCCTGCCCTGAAAGATTTCTGATTACTATACACTTCAAAATAGTATTTATTACAGATTTACATAATCTGTATGTTTTATGTTAAGGGAATAACACATTGATGCTGTACTACTGAAAGGAGTTAATCTAAACTATGTAGTGTCTGCTATAGCAGAGTTCCAGCTAAAACATATCCCTGTTTCCTGGCACTGACAAGTAACACATATCCAGAAGGACACTGCCCGGCACATTAGGTAAACTGCCAGGTGAAGCCATTGCTCGACTCCTGAACCTTCACTGGGTTATGGATCAGCACTCGGCAAAATTAAATGCTACGCATCTCCGTGTAACCTCCCATTTAATTTAACAAGTGTTATTTCAAATAGCATGTGCCTGTTACACGACAGGATTCATGCGGGTAAGCAAACACTGAAATGGATTCTAGTGTTTTAGGCCTGAGGTAAGCGGCATGATAACTCAGGTTGAATGCTATTTAAAATAGATTTGAGTGCATGTACGGATAGGCGGTAGTAATAGCGTTTAAATTTTGTTATTCTAAGTCTGTCGTTGAGTGTACTTGATGAGATTGTCCATGAGCATACAGATGGTGAGATTTTCATGCTTCTGTGGCATACTGACATCTCAGGCTGTAAAAATAAATTCCCAGATCGCTGCAATACCTAAGAAGCAGAAAAATGCAGTCCACCTTAGTGCTCAACATTGGAGTGTTTTATGTTTTAAGAGATCATATAACACTAAATCAGGTTTGTGCAAACCGGGAATACTGATTTAATGGATTTATAATATAAAGCAAAATTCAAGCTAACCTCTGTGCCCTTTTTAAAGGAGATTATTTTTTTTCTGTGCTTCTGAATTTAGAGATATGGGGGATGGAGATAAAAACTTGCCTTTCTTTGTTATTATCTTTAATATTTTCTAGAACTATACATAAGGATTAAAGCAGAAACTGACTTTTCATTAGGTCAAGCTTACTTTTCATTAAAAGATTCTCGGATCGTTTCTTGATTTCACATAATTTTCCAAACTAGCATCAAATTATTATACCTATTTTGATCATTCATCTGCACCGAAAAGGTATTTCCGTCGAAGATGAATGCTGAGATATCTTCTCGAATATCATAAACACGGGTTTTCCTGCCTAAGAAGCCATAATGTGGACCGATCCGTGCATCAGCCTCTTCAGCCTGGAAACCCACACTGATATTGCTCATAAATAGCTGAGGTAGGGCACCCCTATTGGCTAATGTCTGGCCGCAGACAAGGTGCTGTGCTTATTAAGGTCTCTAAGCTGACCGAATTAAAAATTGTAGATAGATATATATAGCAGGGTGATATGGTGAAAATGAGCTAAAAGAAAAACATTTTTCAGAGACAAGTACATACTTTTAAAAGGTTTAAAATATTCAATTGGTGAAAAAAATAACTACTTGTAAAAACGTGTGTATTTCCATTATGCTTAATTTGCCATTCAAAACAAGTTTTTCTTAATAAGCTCTATTGTTTCTATCTGTTTTGTGAAATGTAATACGTGTGAGACAGAAAGCAGACTCGGAATGTGAATGAGTCTTGTTTTCTCTTTCTCTTTTCCTTTCTATCGTTTTTTAAATACTACTTTATTCATATTCACAGGCATCTTAATTCGAGAAAAGGATTAATGGAAGTGGCATGGCATTCCTGAGGTCATGATCTGAAAAGATGAAACGTGAAAGCTTATCTGCTAGTCTTTTCCAATGTCTTATTTCTGTGCAAGATAAAAGTCTCCGTAAGCAAAACATTCTATGGTTAATAGTTATGTTTTCGCTCTCAGCAGTGACACGAGCTTTGTC